CTATGAGAAATATATTTCTCTTGTTTATAGGTGAAAAAAGATGTGGGAACAAAGTTTTCACCTTAAGTTTGAATCTTTAAAGATTAAAGTTTTCATAAAGCACCTTTCCATTCTTTTGAAGACTTACTCCCTTTGGTTGGATGGTATCCAGCTGCCATTACTACTATTCTTTTTTCCAGTTTTTAATTGATATATATATAGTTCACATACCAAAGCACCATCCTTTTAAAGTGTACAATCAGTAGTTAGTTCTTAGTTTATTCTCAAGCTTGGGTGACCATCATCACTATCTAATTCTAGAACATTCCATCACCCCCAAAAGAAACCCCGTACTCATTAGCAGTCACTCCCCATTTCCACCATCACTCATCCCCTGGAAACCACTAACCTACTAATTACACACTAATCTACTAATTTAATGTACTTTATGTCTCTGAATTTTCTATTGTGAACATTTCAAATCAGTAGAATCATACATATATGTGGACTTTCTTGCCTGGCTTCTTTTACTTACTTCCATACTTTCAGGATTCATCATATTATAGCATCCATCAGTACTTTATTCATGTTTATGGCTAAGTAATATGCCATTGTATTGACCTACCACATTTTATCTATCCATCATCAGTTGTTAGACATTTCAGTTGTTTCTCCTTTCTGGCTATTATGAATACTGCTGTGATCATTTGTGTACAAGTTTTTATGTAAACATATGTTTTCAGTGTGGGGAGATATATACCTAGGAATGGAATTGCTGAGTCATATGGTAACTCTGTGTTTAACTTCTTGAGGGGCTGCCCAACATTTTTCAAAGGAACTGCACCATTTTATGTTCCCACTAGCAATGTATGAGTGCTCCAATTTTTCTACATCCTGACCAACACTTGTTCATCTTCTGGATTGTCATCATCCTCACGGGTATGAGGACAGTTATTCTATTTCAGGATATATTTTTTATATATATTTTTTAAAAATTTTGTTGAAATAGTTATTAAGCGATTTTGTTTTCCAGAACTAGTACATGGGTAATAATATTTCAAGACTTCGTTGTCAGAAAATGTTTTTATTGTTTCCCTGTGCAAGTGTGTGTAGTATAAGACTCTTTGTTCAAAATCATTTTTGATCAGAACTTGGAAAGCCCTGTTTTCTAGCCCTCAGAATGGATATAGCATTAGGATGAATGTCATCACTTTGCTGGCCATGTGTATGTGTGTGTGTGTGGGGGGGTGTGTATGTGCATTCATGCGTGTGAGTGCACATATGTATTTCTCTTTCAGAATGTTCTCTTTATGCTTGCCATTTTAGAATTGGACAAGGCTGTGTCTTAGCGTGAGTCTTTATTTCTCTTGCTTCGCCTTCAGTGGGCCTTTCCAGAAAATTTCAAAACTTCCCATTGAAAAATTAAAGCTTAGGAAGTACTGTTCTGTCAAGTTTTGTTTGTTTCTTCCTTTCCACTGCCACTATTCTGAACAGCTCTGAATTACTATTAGGTAGAACTTGAAGCTCAAAATCTAATGTCCATGTCTTTGTTTTGTGTGTGTATTTTCTTTACATTTCATTTTGCACATAATTTTGAAAAAGGTTTATCAGACTTTTATTCCTGATTACATGTTAATATTTAGACCCACAATTTATTTTGCCACCCTTCAAATAAATGTTATTCAACACTATATTTTTAATATCAGATATTATTTCTTCTTGTTCTTGTAACAGATTTTATATGCTTTGTGAAGATAAAAGCCTGTTATTAGAATATGCTGTAAAGGTCTCTTCTGTTCACTGAATTGTATCTTTTTCCTCTAGACCAAGTTTTTTATTTGTTCATCCTAAACCTTGTCCTCTGTGCTATGACGTTCTGGAAATATTGGCTTGTTTGAAGTTCTTGTTTCATCGATCTGATGGAAAGACTAGGTTGATAATTATACTCAGTTGAAATGGATTTTCTCTGCAGTTTCATCTGTGATTCTGTTTCCTCAAGAGGGAGATTAGTTTCAGGCTGTGTGCAATGGGCGGGGCATCTGCAGACAGGCTCCCCTTTGAATTGCATGGACATGGAGCTGACCGGCAGACGAAGGAGCCAAAGTGGAGAAGAGTGTAAGAATCACTCCTGGGCATAGCTTCCTTTTTTCTCTAGTGTTGGAGACAAGGTTCAAAACTAAGACTAGGGCTGGCTGGTCAAGCGTGGCCTCCGTGGCTGGGGATGACTCATCTTTCCTCCACGTGGTCTCTTCCAGTAGGAGTTTCTGGGATCATTCTCATGGAAGAGGCAGTCTTCTAAGGTGAAAAGCAGAAGCACACGAGATCCCTTGAGACAAAAGCCTAAAATAAGCACAGTGCCCTTCCCAGCATAGTCTTTTGGTGAAAGTAAATCACAAGACCAGACAAAAGTGAAGGGGTAAAGATAACAGGCATCACAGCCTGATGAGAACTGTAGCAGGGTCATATTGCAAGGGGTGTGGGTAAAAAGAGCCATGGAAATTCAGAGCCATTTTTGAAATAATCTACCACATCGTCTTTCAGAAGTTCCTCAAATTTCCCTGTCTACTCTCATCACTGTTGCTAATTACCTATTTTCCCTCAGTTGCAAAACCACCCTTTATGATCTTTTATGTGAATATTGGCAGTGGGACTCTGAAACTACGTTTTCTTCGTGTCCTAGTCTGCTGACTTCTGGTGAAGTTCTGTAGTTGGGGAGGAAGGGAAGGAGAGTGAAAAGCAGAAGGAGGAAGGAACTTGCTTTTTGTTTTCAGCTCTGGGCGTTCTCCCTACAGCAGGGACAACAGCAGCTCTGGGCTATCCTCGTCACTCCCAGCCACAGCGCCACTTCCCCTATTCCCTCAGAAGTACCAGTGGCAGTAAGCCATGTCCCCCTCGGTGAGTGGAGCTTCAGCTGAACCCTACTTATCTCCAGATAAAAATCACGTGGAGGCTAGAGGGTGTTTCCTCTCCAGTCTCTTAGGTTTTTGATAACTCTACATCTTCTTCCTTTTTATGTTCTGAGCCCTAGAACTTTTAACTGCTTCCTGCAGCTAATATCCATGTTAGCTCAGAATCCCTTTAGCTCTTTCTGCCTTCCAGTACCTGTATAACAAATTCCCTATGCACTCTGTTAAAATAGCTCATATGCTTTTCATTTCTTGACATATCTTTCCCAGATAGATTCTTTGTTGTTTTCCAGAATTTTGGCTTCGTTTTCCCTTGGTATTTTTTCAGTAATTTTTATAAGATATTCAGAGGAGCAATGGATGCAAGTGCTCAGAGCACTATCTTTTCATTATTATCGTAGTAAGAGTATTTACCCTGAGCTCTGCCCTCTTAACAATTTTTTTTTAAGTGTACAATTCTAAATTCCACTTCTGGGGGCATATATCCAAATGAACTGATATGAGGATCTCGAAGAGTTATTTTCACTCTCATGTTCGCTGCAAAGTTATCAATAATAGCTAAAATGTGGAAGTAACCTAAGTGTCCATTAACAGATGAATGCATAAGCAAATTTCATACATACATGCAATGGAATATTACTAAACCTTAACAAGGAAGGAGTGTCTGACACATGCTACAACATGGATGAACCTTGTGGACATCTTGCTAAGTGAAGTAAGCCAGACACAAAAAGACTAATACTATTTGATTCCACTTCTGTACGGTACCTAGAGTAGCCAAAATCATGATGACAGAAAGTAGGGGCTGGGGGAAGGGGTTAATTGGAGATTGCTAATCAAGGGGTAAAGTTCCAGTTATGCAAGATGAATATGTTCTAGAGATCTGCTGAATAATATCAGTGTAGTGTCTTAAGTGGTTATTGGTTATTTGTTATTTTCTCTTCTTAATTTATAGTTCTTTGTATATAAAAATATTAAATCTTTATATTGAGAAAAATATTTCCCCAGGGTTTATTGCTTATGTTTAATTGTGTTTATGGAGACATCTTATCATTCAAAAGTTAATTTTAGGGGCACCTCGGTTGCTGTCCGTTAAGTGTCTGACTCTTTCGGTTCAGGTCTTGATCTCTAAGGGTCATGAGATCGAGCCCTGAACCTGCTTAAGATTCTCTCTCTCTCTCTTTCTCTCTCTCTCTCTCTCTCCCTCTGCCCCGCCCCTCCCTCATGTGCATGCTCCCTCTGTCTCTGAAAAACAAAAATGGTTTAATATATCGAAACTGTCAAATTTACCTTTCACAGTTAGAAATAACAGGGTCTGCATTACCCTGGAAGACAGGCTACTTTTGCTAACTTGGGTTATCAGAAGGATGCAATGGATTATCTGGATTTCAGTCTCTTTTTTTTTTTTCTTTTTTTTGAATTCCAGGTCTGCCAAGCTTTAGGAGTATGACTTTATGAAAGCTCTTCAATGACCTCAGCCTCAATCTTCTCATCTGGACAGTGGGGATAATAATAAAATAATGCAGTACCTTTCTTCTAGGACTGTTTTAAAGATAAAGTGACATACACGTTTAGGGTCCTTGGGATGAGTGTGGCATTATCATAGGTACTCAGTAATGGTAGTAGCTACACCTGCTATTATTACTCATATCATTGCTATCATTGCAACTACGTCTGCAGTTTTTATTACAAATATCACTACTGTTCTTACCCTTACCATCACTGCCATAATGAACCCTTCCTACTCCCTAAGTATATTCTGCTTTGTGTTTAAGGAAATTAATTAGCTTTAGGGGATATGGTAGACTGAATAACAGGCCCCAAAGGTATCTTTGTCCTAATTTCTGGAATTCGTGAATGCTGCCTTATATAGCAAAGGCAATTTTGCAAGTAGGATTTAGTGAAGGATCTTAAAGTGGGAGGGTTTTTCTAGATTATCCGGGTGGACCTAAATATAATCACAAGTGCGGTTAGAAGATCAAGGCAGAGTGATATAGACAGAGAGGAGGAGAAGGCAATGTGATCGGGGAGGCAGAAATTGGAGTGTTGTGACTACAAGCCAAGGAATGCCAGTAGCCACCAGACGCCGGAAGGGACTAAGAATGGGCCTGCCCTGTGCTCCCTTCGCAGCACATATACTACAATTGGAACAATACAGAGAAGATTAGCAGGACACCTGCACAAGGATGACATGCAGATTCGTGAAGCGGTCCCTATTTAAAAAAAAAAGAAAAAGAAAAAAGAATGGGTCCTGCCCTGCCAGAGGAAACAGCCCTGCTGCTACCTTGACCTCAGCTCAGTGAAACTAACTTTGGATTGCTGGCCTCTGGGATGGTGAGAAAATAAGTTTGTGTTGTTTTAGCCACCAACGTTGAGGTAACTTGTTATGGTGGCCATAGGAAACTAAAACAAAGGATAAAAATTCTAATTTGGGAGAGTTAAATTACAATTCCCTCCAACTTCTAGAACTCTTACTACATTATTTACTGGAGTGCGTTGGAATATGTTCCATCAGTAGAAATGGCTTCTTAACTGAAATGTCACATGGAAACTCTACGTATGTGGAAGATAACCATGGAGCTTCTTTTGATCCCGATACTGCCACAGCGGCCCCCTCCACAAGGTCCCACTTCTGGGTATATATCCCCCAAGGTGGCCTGAGACACCCCAGGCTCATGGTGCTCCAAGCAACACATTGTAATAAATGATGGTTTATGAGCACTGGGTGTTATATGCAAATAATGAATCATGGAACACTACCTCAAAAACTAATGAAGTACTTTATGGTGACTAACATAATAAAAGAATAAATGGAAATTAATTAGAATATTTCATAATCTCATGTGCAGTCCTTAAAGAAGGCCAAGAAAGGAGGCACGTTTGGGGGTGTTAGATTAAAATGAGAGGCTGACGCTGACCTCAGTGAGTGCAAAAGTGTAAAAGTCCATGAAAAACACAAAATTAGGTAATTATAACACAGTATAATAAATACTAAAACTGGGGTAAGCACACCTCTCTGAGTGTTTATAGAAGAAGGAAGACAAGAGCAACTGGTCACTTTGTAGTATTGTTTTTTAAGATTTTCTTTATTTGAGAGAGCATGAGTGGGAGGAGCGGGAGAAGCAGACTCCCCACTGGAGCAGGGAGCCCGACGCGGGGCTCCATCCCAGGACCCCGGGATCATGACCTGAGCCGAAGGCAGACACTTAACCAACTGAGCCACCCAGGCACCTCCACTTTCATAGTATTTTATACAGAGGTTATTTAACACTGACGAGGGTAAGCATATATCTCCAGTGACCTGAACCCTCGCGTTCACTGGCCTCCACTCTGTAGTTCAACTCAAATTAAAAGATTGTTTCACCTAAATTTAAAAAATGCCCAGAGGTAACCAGTGACTAAGAGAATTAGAATAAACACAGTCAAGCCATTTTCTACTTAAACTTAAAAACCCAAAGGTCAGACTAGACCCAACCTGTTAGAACAATAAGTTCATATAGCCAATCTCATTCTGACATTTGGGCAACCCTAGTATCACTATCTTAACAACTAATGATATATGCTGCTAATAACCTGAAGACTGATGTCATGCATGAATACTCTGGAGAGCAATATACAGCCTCATTTTCAACTGTTATAGAATAAGAAAGCAGTTTTAAAAGCTATTTTTGCCTTGCAGTGATATAAATTTTTTATTATTATATCATGTGACTATTACCCCACCATGACCAGCCATCCATATAAAGTTAGTGATTTTCTACATATGCAAAGAGGAAAGGAGAAATGATTATTCATTATTTTTTTAAAGGCCTAGATTAAGACCTCCAATGCAAGTGCCTATTGAGTCGTAGCTTAGTACTATGATAATTCCTCCGATGGCTGAAGAAAGTCATACGTGGGAATTAAAGATGACATTTGAAAACATGCCCATTACTGCTCCCAACCTGCTTCGATACATCCCCTATTAACACTGCTTTGAAGCGAGAAAAAAAGGTCTACTTTGAAGGGACTGGTTTAAAAAGTCTCAGTGTTCTAAATTAAAACATTATTTTGTAGTCTGATCTGTCTCCATAAATCTCAATATGAAAATTTCTAAGATCGAATTCTTCCTCCTCTTTAAGAAAAAAACAGCCTTTAAAGAAGTTCCCAGTGAAATATCAAGGAGGATAATGTATGCTTATTGACTGGATAAACCATTGTCAGATAACTAAAAATTGATGATTTAATAATGAATAGACAGTATTATAAAGTTAAGGATAGAACATTTTATTAAATATATACTCTAAGGTATGTGCTATTGCAAAAGAAAAAAAGACGTAGGTCTCAAGATACATCTGGTAAAATATTCTTACACTGTTGCAAATAAGAATAATCACACTTTCCTATTTTGGCAAATAGGTCAGATGCATTGTTTTGAAAACTGATTAAAACAGCCGTTTATTTACATGGGTGCCTTGTTACAGTATGCCCTTGCATTATTGAGATACAACTTGGGTTCAACAGATTTTACATATACTATTTTCTAAATTTTGACAAATATATATTCATTGTTAACACACATCCCTATCAAGATATGGAACGTTGCTTCATTCTCCAGTGTCTCCTCAGGCCATAGTCAGTCATTTCCAGTCCCTCTCCCCGCCCCCTAATACCAAAGGCAGCTTGATTTGTATGACCACAGATTTGTTTTACCTGATTCAGACTCTCTTCAAGTGGAATCATTTGTGTTAGTTTTGTTTCCTTTTTTTTTTTTTAGTACAACAAATGTTTTTGACATTTATCTGTGTTTTTACATTTATTGATAATTCATTTTTGTTACCAATGGTATTAATAGTATACTAGGATTCTGTTATATAGATGTACCACACTTTGTCCATTCTGTCAATAGACTTTTTTTTTTTTACATAGTTTAATCACTAGGTAGGAGGTTACTAAGTCTGTGGTGCTAGTGGTGGCAGATACTAGTTTGGTGTGAGTTCAGAGCAATTCGATATGTATTTTTGATTGTAAATTGTAAAGGTAAAAAAGCATAGGAAGCTCACACATGGACTAGACAGTTTAAGGATGGATGTAAGGGTCCATTGTACACTGGTATAATTAAGAAAATAATATTTTTGATTTACTGTCCCATAATTTAGAACAGGTTATTAATACGAACTTGACTAGCATCCTTATTTGTGACCATTACAACCAGGATTGATGCTAATTTAAGCATTCCTTTTCATTTGAATTCATAGTGACGTATTCGATGTACTGTTATTTTCATTTCAAAAATGCTGTATTTAGTCTCATTTGCTTCTAAGGGGCAGAAGCCTGCTCAGGTCAGATTAATTAAAAGAGGGTTTTGAAAAAAGGATGCATGTGAAAACAGAGTGAGTACGGGATCTCTGGAAAATCTAAGCAACCGGAAGGGCCTCCCCGAAACTAGGCAGAACTTGAGCTCCATAAACCAGCAGAAGAATTTAGTGAATTTTTTCTCTTAATCTCTCAATGATTAATATGAGTTAGCTATATCCAAATATATATTTATTCCTGGTTAACTACTGAAAAGTAAACCACCATTAGCCCATTTTGGGGCTGTATCTTTTGTGCCAGAGTCCATCATAAGCCACTAGCCAGGTTAGGAAGATTTACTCCTGGATCGGGCGCCCAGGTAGTGGGGATCTTGTGTTAGAGGACAGAGCCATTTGGCATCAGCCTACTTCTGATGGGACAGATTCACTTAGAAGGGGTTAAGCACCAAAAGATACCATGAGAATAAGAAGCTGAAGAACTTAAGGCCCTAAATAAGTATTACTTTTGAGTTTTGCATTTTGTATCAGGTGCGTTTTCCAATAGTTTGACTGAATATTGAGCAGTATTTATTAAGTCCTATTTACACGAGGTTTGAGTGTTTAAAAGATTGGATGAGGAAAATGGTGAGGAGAGTAGTGAGGTAGAGATCATAAAGCCTAATCAAAAATAATCCAGAGAGGGGAAACTTAGAGGAATAAAGGCTGTGGAATTAATCAGCAATTTGGACTATGGTAGAAGTTGAAGAGACAGAAAAAAGGCTGTAGTCACAATGAGAGAAAAGTCAAAAGCAAGAGTTACACAGAAATGGAGGAGCCAGGGAAGGTCCACAACATCAAGAAAGGACTCATAGGGCTACTTAAACTCCTTTTCTGAATATGGTCTGCTTTTACTTCTCTCACTCTTGTGAGAAGCATTCCTACATGAGCCTCGTGAGACCAATCTGTGTGAAATGGCATTATCCACACTGGCCCCAAGTTGACTAGAGCAGTACAAGAGAAAGTCCCTACCCCGGCGGACGAGGCAAGACCTGCGTGACAGCTATTTCCCAAAGAGACCTAGGGCAAGTCACTGACGTATGTCACTCAAGAAGTCTAACCATCTGAACCCTTCCTAAAGGCATAATTCAGGTTCATACAGTGAAACTTAGGATTTCAGGCTGGTGTCATGGGGGACCAAGAATTACTCTGTGGTCACCTATTTCTTTATTTTTAATTTTTTTAATTATTTATTTTTTTATTATGTTATGGCAGTCACCATACAGTATGTCATTAGTTTTTGATGTAATGTTCCATGATTCATTGTTTGCGTATAACACCCAGTGCTCCACGCAGAACGTGCCCTCCTTAATACCCATCACCAGGCTAACCCATCCCCCCACCCCCCTCCCCTCTGAAACCCTCAGTTTCTTTCCCGAGTCCGTAGTCTCTCCTGGTTCCTTTCCCCCTCCGATTCCCCCCCCCATTTTTCCCTTCCTTCTCCTAATGTCCTCCATTCTATTCCTTATGTTCCACAAATAAGTGAAACCATATGATAATTGACTTTCTCTGCTTGACTTATTTCATTTAGCATAATCCCCTCCAGTTCTATGCATATTGATGCAAATGGTGGGTATTCATCCTTTCTGATGGCTGAGTAATATTCCATCGTATATATGGACCACGTCTTCTTTATCCATTTGTCTGTTGAAGGGCATCTCGGCTCTTTCCCAGTTTGGCTATTGTGGGCATTGCTGTTATGAACATTGGGGTCCATGTGTCCCTTCTTTTCGTTACATCTGTATCATTGGGGTGAATACCCAGTAGTCACTTATTTCTGCTTAGCTTTATAAGGAGGTCAAATATGCTATCCCTACTGAAGTCTAGATCTCTTCTATTTCTACTTCTGTAATCTACCCATTTGGTTGAACCAAATTACTCCTATCACCTA